GGCCCCCTGCAGCATTTTCTTTTTTAAAAATGTGAAAAAGTTTAAGAACCACGGGGAGACCCAGGGCCATGTGCATGTGCTGATCAAGGAGCAGCCCCATAGTGGACCATGGGCTTTTCAGCAAGGAGCTTGAAACTGTTACTCAGGGTGACATCAGGATGTTCTGGCTCTGTTAGCATTCATTTTGTGTTTTTCTGTTCACTTAAATTTAACTTAAATGTTCCCTCTGTTGAGCCAGATTTCCAGGTCTGAGGATTTCATTGGGGAATCAGTTATCGCCATTGAGCCTTTCACAAGTCAGAGCACAGAATATTAAAGATCACTGAAATGTTGATCTACAGGATTCACATGTCTACACACACACACACACACACACACACACACACCCTCTCTGTGTAGCTCTGCACAGGGAGAGGTGTACAGAGGAAGCTGGGGCCAGTCCAAGTCGGGAGGCCAAGCCACGTGACAATGGCTGTGATGTATGTAGCACAAGCTCCAGTCACCAGAGAACAGTGAGTCAGGGGAGATGGCAGAACCTGTCCAAAGGCACAGCAAGAGAACATCTGGATTCTAAAAAGGTGATATCCATGTGGACCCTACATAGTGGATGTTATTTATAACTGAATCTCGCCATTGGTGGCTTTGTTTGTTTTGTTTTTGAGATGTTTCTCGCTGTGCAGTCCAGGTTGGCCTTGAAATTACAGTAATCCTCCTGCCTCAGCCTCCCTAGTGCTGAGATTACAGGTGTGTGCCACCAAGCTTGGATCCATTGGCGGCGTTTTATGTCTTTTGAGAAGGGAAAAACATAATCTGATTTAATCTGATTTGTGTTTTAGGAAGACCAGTTGGTTAGTACTAGGCTGGGGGGAGGGAGGCTGGGAAAGAGCTCCTGCGGCCCTAGCCCTCCACTCACCTCTGCAGCCCACATTGCAGGACTTCTGCACTAGTTACTCGCCCCTCCGTCTGCCGTGCCTGGCGCCTGTGTCCTGGAGAGGGGTATATGCACCCACTGGGCTTGGGCAGCCCAGGGCAGACTGTGCCCCCTGGGGACCCTGCGGAGGGCCAGGGTGGCACTGGCGGATTGGGATGGGAGGGGTCTGGCAGGGTGCATCGCATGCTGGGGCTGTGTGGATTCTGCTGTCCCTGGGGCACCCCGTGCCTGTGCCGTCCAGAGCAGTGCTCAGCAGCTATGACTCCTTCCACAGGGGAAACGGGAGAAAAGGGGGACAAAGGCGCCCCAGGACGGCCTGGAAGAGTTGGTCCTACGGGAGAGAAAGGTACCTGGAGCTCCTGACCCTGTGCAAGGCAGGGATGGCGGTGGAGGGGAAGAGACTGAGGGGCCGGCCGGCTCCTGGCCACCCTGAGCTGGGGCTGTGACATGGGGCGTGATGGTGGTGTGGCGTCTGGGACATCATGGACTTGGGGTTGGGAGGCGCTCCCTCTCCCTGTCAGCAGAATGGAGTAATTCTGAAAGCCCCATGGGAGGGTGCTGTGGTCCAAGTAGGCCTGCAGAGGAGAGGGGTCACACATGTGTAAGGGACCAGATCATGTATGTAAAGGGCCTAGAGCACAGGGACAAATGAATTAGGACACGTGTAGCAACTAGAACATACATAGAGAAGCTGGATCATGTATGCGAATCAGGTGCTCAGTAAGTGATAGCTATCTTCTTTAGGATATACAGGGACAAATGAATTAGGACACGTGTAGCAACTAGAACATACATGTAGAGAAGCTGGATCATGTATGCGAATCAGGTGCTCAGTAAGTGATAGCTATCTTCTTTAGGATATAATTACTTTTATTACTTGTTTGTTTGTTTGAGGTGGGTCTTACCTCAAACAACCTGTAGTCCAGGCTGGCTTGAACTCACTAGGCTGGCCTCGAACTCCTGGCAATCCTCCTGCCTCAGCCTCCCAAGTGCTGGGATTACAGGTAGGACCACCACGCCCAGCTTGAGAAACATTTTGAAGTTTAATATCCCAGCACATTTCACAAACTATTTATTTATTTATTTATTTTGTACTGGGGATCGAACTTGGGTCCTTGTGCTTGCCAGTCAGGCTCTGGAACCACTGAGCTAAATCCCCAGCCCTCCCAGGATATTTTTGCAATGTGAACCATCCCAGTGGGGGCAAGGGCACCAGGTTCAGGTCTATGTGCTGACCAGTTCCAGGGCAGAGAGCTGCTCTGTGGGTGCTGAGAGCCACTGTGCAGATAGAGGAGGGGACCCTGTTGCAGGTTGGGTGGCACCCTCTGCTTAGTGGCTCCCACACAGGGCAGCTGCTGTCCGCACTAGAGCGTGAGAGCACCATTAAGATGAACTGGGATTGGTGCCCTCTCCCCACTGTGCTAGGGTGTCCGCGCCCGGGTGTCCCATGCTCCCGGGTGTCCGCAGGAGCTCGAGGCCCCACTCCCGGGTCCCCTTCAGATCTTCACTGACACTAGGCCAAGAGGGTAGGACCTGGTGTAGGGACTGGTTGGGGGGCAGGATCACGGCCCTGGTGAGAACGGAGCCCCCCAGCAGTCCAGGGGTGTTTGCTAGGGACTTGTGCCTCTGCTCTGCCCTGGGTGCGGCTCTCAGGGGTGGAGCCTTCTTTTGCCAAGGAGCCTGGCCTGCCAGGAGCCATCCAGGGCCGTCGCATTGTGGCCTTGAGGACAGGAAGGGCTGTGGTGTTTTTAATTTCTTCATATGTGTAATGAAAAGGTGTGCGCGGGGTCACCCGTGTGTGATGGTGAGGAGGGCGTGGTGTCCCATCACCTGTGCAGCAACCAACCATGCGAACATGATCTCGTTTTCTGCAGGAGACATGGGGGACAAAGGACAGAAAGGCAGTGTAGGTCGTCATGGAAAAATTGGTCCAATTGGTGCTAAAGGTATTTGTAATGAGATTTTTTTTCTTTTGAGACAGGTTTCACTAATTCAGGTTGACCTGGAACTCACTAGGTAGCCCAGGCTGGCCTCAAACTAGCTGAGATCCTCCTGCCTCAGCCTCCCAAGTGCTGAATGCACCACCATGCCCACTTTCATCCCCATGTTCATAAGTAGAGAAAAATCAAGGATGGTCCTCCTGTCCATTAGGAGATTGGGTTGGACTCCTTGCATCTGGGCCTCTCACACACTATGCCACCCGCAGTGCCCCTTAAGTGACCATCAATAGTCCCTCAAGTCCCATGACAGGCATGTGACCCCGGTTCCCAGAGCTGGAGTAAACAAAAGAAATGCTGAGCTTGTCTGTGACATTTTGTAACCCAGGGGCCACACAGCCTCTGCTTGGTGACTCAGATTCTGCTTTTCTCTCTCAGGTGACAAAGGTGAGATGGGTGACATAGGACCTCCTGGCCCTCACGGAGAACCAGGTATGGAGGATAGGGTCAAGGAGTTTTCATGAAAACTAAAATTGTGCTTTGAGAAATGTAACCATTAGAGTCAGGCACGGTAGCACACGCCTGTAATCTCAGTACTTGGGAAGCTGAGGCAGGAGGATCACCACAAGTTCAAAGCCAGCCTGGGCTACATGCTCCAGCAGGCTGTGCCTCCATTTCCCCAGATGCCTTGGGGAATGTCCCCTGCTGCCACCCTTAGCTTCTTCCAGGGCTCCACCAGTGGCCACTCTGAGGCCCCCACATCCTCTCTTCATACTTTCCTGCTTGCACCCCACTTTCTTCCCATTGTAGCCAAGCAACACTTAACATATAAGGTACAACGAAGGATACATTCTGTTTACATAAAGAAAAATTCATTACTGTAAAAGACACACTGCCAAGAACCCCCTCAGAATCCTCCCCTTGGTTTGAACACACTTGGCCTGTTTCTGCTACTTCCTGCAGACACTCTGGAGTCCTCTTTCCTGAGGGTCTTTAGCTGCGCTGTCCTGGCTGCCTGGATGTCCTGAATGGATTCAGAAGGTCTCCCTGTGGTGGTCACTGACTTTAGGGAAGAACCAGGAGTCACGTGGTGCCAGATCAGGTGACTGAGGTGGATGAGGACACAGCGTGGTGTTTCTATGAGAGCTGTCAGATGGAACTCAGTAACAGCAGCATTCACTGTATTTTTAATCAGACCTCATAAAGACCCTCAGGAAAGAGGATTCCAGAGCAGCTGCAGAAAGTGGCAAAGACAATGGGATGAGTGTGTGCAAAGAGGGGAGGATTCTGCGGGGGATTCGTGGCCATGTGTCTCTGTCATCTTTAATATAAACACAGTGTTTCCCCATCAGCCCTGCTGACCCTGACGACCGCTCTGCGCCTCTAGGTTAAGCATGAAATTGTCACCCCGCTCCTGCGTGATGTCAAGTAGACTGATGCACTGAGGGGAGCTCTCTCACCTGAGCCCCGCTCTGTGTCACACCCGGTCCCCACAGGCCTCCCCTGCGAGTGCAGCCAGCTCAGGAAGGCCATCGGCGAGATGGACAACCAGGTCACCCAGCTGACCACCGAGTTAAAGTTCATCAAAAACGGTAGGTGGGGCCCCGGCCTCACTCCTGCCTCCCGTCCCGGGCCTCCACCTCCCCAGGCGTGCATGCGACCCGACCGCGGCGTGTGTCGGAAGTGTGGTCACGGAGCTGCCAGCGCTGCCTTTCAGCCCTGCCCTCCCCCGCAGCTGTCGCCGGCGTGCGCGAGACGGACAGCAAGATCTACCTGCTGGTGAAGGAGGAGAAGCGCTACGCCGACGCGCAGCTGTCATGCCAGGGCCGCGGCGGCACGCTGGGCATGCCCAAGGACGAGGCGGCCAACGGGCTGATGGCTGCCTACCTGGCACAGGCCGGCCTGGCGCGCGTCTTCATCGGCATCAACGACCTGGAGCGTGAGGGCGCCTTTGTGTACTCAGACCGCTCCCCCATGCAGACCTTCAGCAAGTGGCGCAGCGGGGAGCCCAACAACGCCTACGACGAGGAGGACTGCGTGGAGATGGTGGCCTCGGGGGGCTGGAACGACGTGGCCTGCCACATCACCATGTACTTCCTGTGCGAGTTCGACAAGGAGAGCGTGTGAGCCGCGCCTCGGCCGCTCTGCAGGGCCCTGTGGCCACCAGGGGAAGCAGCTTTTCAGAAGCGGGAAGCCCGATCCATCTGATGATTGCCTGCACTGTAGCGAGGGTCATGGCGGAACTAGCACTCGCAGCTGCTCCTCCGCTTCTGGTCGGGCCGAGAGGTAGCCAGCGTCTCTCACACGCAGCGTGAGCGGCAGTCCTGGGGTCAGGCAGTAGCCCGCCCCTTGCCTCCGCGTGGAAGAGATCCGCGTGCCTATGCATTATCCCGGAATCTAGGCTGTGTTCACTAGTGTGCAAGCAGGACCAACTTTGCTTTGCTTCAAGCCCAGGTTTCAAGAGTACAAAAATAAATTGTCTAAACTTTGCTCTGGACTGAAGGGCATCATTTGCTTATCCTAAGGTTCTCCGTAGATGTGTTATTATCTGTTGCTGCGGAACAAAATACCCCAAACTAGGGGCCCAAAGTGGAACCATTTATTACTTTGAGTCATCTGAGGGTGATAAATTTATGCAGGGTCTAGTTGGATCCTCATACTCGGGGCACCACAGCCAAAACCAACTTGCTCACTCTGTATGTATATCTGTGTGTGTGGTTTCTTTCTTTCTTTTGTTTTCTTTTCTCAGGACCTTGCACCTGTAAGGCAGGTACAGGGCCACTGAACTAGATCCCTGGCCCCATGTTTGTTGTTGTTTGTTTTGTTTTGAGACAGAGTCTTCCTGTGTGGCCCAGGCAGGAACATCTGGAGCATCCTCCTGCCTCAGCCTCCAAAGTGCTGGGATGACAGGCACGCCCTACCACACCTGGCTTCCCTGTGATTTTGCAGGGCTCAGCATCTTCTGCACTCACGCCTTGGTGTCTCACTGTCTGTGGGTCCAAGTCCACGCTGTTCTTTGCCACATGGTTCTGAGGGGCAGCAAGAGAGAGGACGCTGGCAGGACCCTAGCAGAGCCCCTCACAGCCTGACCAGAGTGCGCCACCCTGCAGCCAGCTCAGCTCTGTTCTGAATCTCTAGCTGCAGCTCCTGTGGGGCAGGGACCCCAGGAGCCTGCACAGTGATGACCAGTTTTCACTTTCCCACTCAGGATCCCTGGTGAGCTCCCCCACATCTCAGAGATGGGATGCAGACGTACACGGGGCTATGTGACAGCCCAGTGTCACTGCCTCTGTGGCTCTGGAGGCCTGGCCCCGCTCACCTTGCTGACCAGCTGGGCCCCGACTCTGTCCTGCATGGGAGGCCGGCAGTGCTGTGGGTGTGCAGACCAGATGCTCACAGGAGCTCCTGTGGAATGTGTGTGTGTGTGTGTGTGTGCACGCGTGTGTGTGTGTGTGCACGCGCCCCTGTGTGCATGTGCACATGTGCATGTGAGACGCAGAAGCAGGGAGAGATACAGAAAGTACAAAGCGGGGGAGGCCTGGTGTCACTGTGCTGTGAACCCCAAGGGTGTCAACTCCCGAGGACCAAGGCACAGACTTCGCTTCCCCGGACCCCCGGGACTTCGGACACAGCTGTGGTGCTGGGGTGCTGGGAGTGGAGCAGGGGCTTCTCTCCGATCCCGACTTCCTGCCTGTCCATCTGCCCTCGGCAGGCAGAGGTGTTGGGAGGTGGCCCCCTCCCTCCTCGTGTGGCCCCGTCTGTCTGTGTGGACCCCTGAAGCTACTCCCTTCAGGGCCCCAGCCGGGCCAGGTGGCCTCCTGTAGCAGGAAGGTCGGAGCCTGGCAAAGGCATGGGGAAAGGAGTTTGCAAAGAGAACTCTGGGAGCACAGGAAAGACAGAGAGAACAAAGCCCAGGAATCAGGCTGCAGATGGGCCTGCCCCCACCTCCTGGCTCAGAGGCTGTTGCTAGGCTACTGCTGTTGTTGCCATGGAAGCCAGTCAGATGACAGTTGACCCCATTCAGAGCCTGGGGGCCCATGGGCCATGTTGGGGGCACAGGTTGCACACTGCACAAATCCTAAGAACTGCACCAACCTGCACAGCCATCTGTGGTAGGGACAGAGGGGCAGGGAAAGTGAAAATTTCTTGGTTTCTATGGCAGAGGGGAAAGATGCTTCCTGAGTCTGGTAGTGTCCCAGGCAGCCTCCAGTTTGATTTTGTTGAGTAGCTAATCATCCCAGAACCCAGTGATGGCAAGCCGTAACTGACATTCAGCCACGCACATCCCCATCAGAGCAGATGCAAAGGTTCCCCCCACCCCTGGAGGCTGCAGCCAGGGGGCTTTTTCTGAAGCTGTCTCCTAGCCCCAGGATCCAGCTGGTGTGTTTGGAAGGTGACACCAGGGTCCCCAGGAGGGAGTTGGTACCGGGGAGCACGGTTTAAACCAGCATGCAGCGCCCCCTGGTGTCCCGGCCTGTCTTCACCGACTGTGTGGGCTGGGCCCCGCCCAGCAGTCAGCGTGACCCACGTTCCCCTGAAGCTCTGGAGAGGGATCTGCTTTCTCACACACCTGGGTCGTGGTCCTTGTGGGGAGTGAGGGGAGTGTGCAGGTCCCCGCAGGCAGCTCTGGAAAGCCAGAGACAGAGAAAGAAAGTGTGGGAGAGAGGGTCACAGACGCCCACAGCCTGGGTGCGGGAAGCCACACCCAACACCAGAAGGGACCATGCAAGACTGCGGAGGGAGGGCGGAATTGTGGGCCCTGTGAGTATGCTCTGCTCTTGCTTGGCACGTGTACCGGTGTCATGTGGGGTGGGAGCAGTTGCTGGAGTTGGGGTCCTAAATGTCCCTGGGGGTCCTGTGGTCAAGGCTGGCTCCCAGGGAGGTGCTATTGGGTGGTGGAGACAAAAAGAAGTGGGAGGTCTTGGATTGTGAGGGTCCTCTCTACGGGGTTCTTCCCACCCCTCTCATCCCAGCCATAAGGATGTATCTATCAGCTTGTCAACTTTCCCACTGCTGAGATTTAAAGGAGGAGAGGGTGGGTCTGGCTCACGGTCTCAGGGGATTCAGTCCATGGTCAGCTGCTCCGAGGCAGGAATATCATGGCGGAAGGGTGTGGGGAGCAGAGCTGCCCAGTTCATGGAGCCTGGGAAGCAGAGCAGGGGAACAGGGACAGAGAGGAAGGAGCTGGGGCCAGATACAGACCCAAGGTCACCCTCCAAGACCGCCCAGACACACCCAGGAGTGAGCTCTCCTAATCTACGGGGAGGACCCCAAGTCAATCCATTTGACACAATGGGCCTTTGCCATCACTAGGCAATGGCAGTGCTCTGCCACCCCGCATGGCACCCCTCCCCACAAGAGGCCTAAAAGGAACGTGTCCTCCTGATCCTCTAAGATAAACCTTTCCCGCTTGCTGTTACCTCAGGATTGGTACCAGTAACAGAAAGCTGCCTGCCACTCATGGGGAGCTCACGGTGCCACTGAGGTGCAGGCTCAAGTATCTGCCTCATCAAAAGGCCGGGATCCAGGGATATGATGCCCTGGGGACGTTCTGGAGGAAGGGAGGACACTGTCCTGGGAGAGGACCTCTGGTGCCATTGTCCTTCCAGGAGAGGAGCACTCATATCGATAGAGAAGCGCTATACAATAAAACAGGCCTGTGCCTTGGCTCCATTCTCTTTTTTTTTCACAGAATGTTTTTTTTTTGTTGTTTGTTTGTTTTGAATTATAAGTTTGTGTTGCTGGGCTCCTGCCCAATGTATCAAAAAAGTTTGTGACTGTTTGAATCGTGTGACCTTTTAGGAATGTTTTAAGCTCCGCCCCCTCTCAAGAATGTTCTGTAACTCTGTTCCTCTGCTTCAGTGAGCATGCTCACAAGGCATGAGTTTCAGGAATATTCTGGGACTCCACCCCCTGCTTTAGTGAGCACGCTTGCCTACCCTGTAGATCCCTGTATACGGAAGCTCTCCTTTCTGGTAGAGGGCTCAGACTCCTGCTGGGCTCGCTGGCATAATAAAAGTTTTTTTCAACCTCTTCTACTGACCATCGGATTCTCAAGTCTTCAAATTTTGAGAGCTGTGGTCCAGAGCTGTGGCACTCAGTGTGACACTGAGCAGTAACCCTTGGCTACAGCACCAAGCTGCTCTGCTCTGTTGCAACAACATGGCTCATCCCTGGCCGATCCCTTTGTCTCCTGTGGATCAGGTGGCCATGGGGCCGGCACTATGATCCCAATCCTACCTGGGTGCTCAGCCCTGGGTTCCCGTACACAGGAGAAGCAGGACCTGGGGCCCTGGCAGGGCTGCACAGGGTTTGCCTGGCCCTGGGGGCGCCCTCTCCACCACCTCTTCTCCCCATGTCCCCCATGAGCTCTTCTGTTAGCAGCTCCTGCGATAGAGGATCTAAACTTCTAATTCCATTTGATTTTAATTAAGTGAATTTAAATTTTTAATAGCTAGTTCATTTTAAGTAGCTAGCAGCTCCCTTATTGGTTGGTGGGACTGCAGGAATCTTGTTCCCAAAGCATGGTCCATGGCTGGCAGTGCTAGTAGGGCCCTGGAGATTCCTGCTCTTGTTTTTTTTTTCTCTTTCATTCTGAAGATTAAACCCAAGGCCTTCGCCCTGAGCTACATCCTCATCCTTGGCCCTTTTATTGTTTTTTGTTCTGAGACAGGGTCTTGCTAAGTCGCTCAGTTGTCCAGGCTGAGCTCAAACTTGTAATCCTCCTGCCTCGGCCTCCCGAGTGCTGGTATTACAGGTGTGCACCACCACACCTGGCTCAGTCAGCCTAAGCTTAGGATACCTGCAGGTGGTAAGCTGGATTTCTGGCCAGGCCAGGGCGGAGGTGGCTTTGTTAGGGCTGTGGAGGGTCTGGCACTGTCTGGGTGACATTCTAGGGAGGAACAGGCCTGGGCTGGCCACCGCCACAGCCAGAGACCTGAGGGGTGGTGGGGACTGCCCGCCCAGCCTGTTTTGAAGCTCTTGTGATGTCACACAGCTCTGCACAGTTCCGCACTGACCATGGGTCCTATAAACTCTCTCTGGGCTGGCACTGTGCACCTTCCCCTTCTGGCTTGTGGGGAGCAGATGAGCCCTCCTGAGCTCTGGGCTTCACTTTCTGTGTGAGGTGAGTGCTGCCTAGGCTATGTGTGTGTTCGCTCTCCGCAGGGGGACAGAGGCCCCTGTCCCACAGCTTAGGGGGAGAGGTCTGACTTAAATACGTGTGGGTCGGAGCCAGCCAGCCCCATTCTGGAGGGCAGATTCTCCCCCTGTCTGTCAGACCCAGAGCAGCTGTGTTTGTTGACTGCGTGCCCCGAGATGACCCAATGTGACTCAGTCTACCTCAAAATCACATCCCTTTTTCTGATCATAACCCAAAGCCTGGCAGCCGTGTGGGGGACCGAACGGCGTGGACAGAGTGTGGCTCCTCTTCCCTCTGCTGTCCAGCTAGCATGGCGGACACCCCGAAGGAGGGGGCGCTGACCCGCTTCCTGGACTTCACCCAGCTGGTTGACATGGCGTCAGAGTCTGTTGGAGGGAAGGCAAGTGGGGCCCCCAGGCGGGACCTCAGGGGTCCCGCCCCACTGCCCTCGGGGTTGCCTGAAGTTGGCTGAAGCAATGCACTCGGAGCCCATCCCACCAAAGCCTTTGTATTAAATAGCAACAATCCCCAGCAAGGGCAGCTGGCCTCCATGTTTTTTTCTTCAGTCCTGGAGGGTTTTAACCCAGCACTTCTGTACTGAAACACAGCCCCAGCCCTGTTTTATTTTATTTCATTTTATTTAAGTCAGGGTCTCACTAAGTCACTAAGTTACCCAGGCTAGTCTGGGACTTGCGATCCTTCTGCCTCAGCCTCCTTGAGTGCCCAAATGACAGGTGTGGCTGCCACTCTGGGCTAAGATAACTTGAAGGCCACTGTGCACGGTGCCCCCTGCAGTGAGGACATTTGTTATGGGAGGGGTTGGCACTCCTGAGCCTAGTGGGGTGCAAATCATCCTGAGAGCTACTCAGATCCTAGGGGCCCGAGGACCAGGCTGCCGTGAGCAGAGGCCAATGAGGATGCTGCTATCTGTGGAAAGTCGGTGTCCAGCTGGTTCTGATTAGCAGTACTGCCTCACCCTCGGAACCAAGCTGCATTAGTGGATGAACTGTTGGGGCAGCCTACCTTTGGGTCCCTGTCCTAAAGCCACCTGGATAGGGAAGAGTGACCAGAACTGTTCATGCGGCCTGTGGGTTTTTCTTTCCTCCCTCCCTCCCTTCCTTCCTTCCTTTCTCTTTTTCATTGCTCTGTTTGTGGAAGAACCACAAAAACCCAAGGCCTTTGGTTCTTGAACAGAAGAAAATTGGCCACTTGGGAGGCTGAGGCAGGATAACTGCATTTAGTTTGAGGCCAGCCTGGGATGCATAGCGAGTGGAAGGCCAGTGCAAAATACATACCGAGACCTTGTCTCAAACAAAAAATAAGGACCAGGGATGGAGTGCAGTGCTAAGGTCTTGGGTTCGAAACCTGCCACCACCACAAGGAAGGAGGTGAGTTTGCTTGCTTTCCAGGTATGAGTGGTTACACTTCTGCAGTGTGATCGAGCAAGGGGTTAAGAGAAGAGGGCAGGAAGTCAAGGTGGGGGAGGAGGGCGGTGAGGTGTGACCTCACAGAGCGGTGGACTCAGGTGCTCACTGTGAGTCTTCTCGGGGACTTCCACGTTCCCTGCCATTACCCTCTGCGTCTCTTTCCGGGGAATGAAACACAGCGGCTCACATCATCTGTGGTCATTCCATCTTTGCTTCTGTCTTTCTTCGTCTAGATTTTATTTGCAACAGATGACTTCTTTGCTCCCGCTGAGAACCTCATAAAGGTATCGCAGCACCGCTCTCCCAGACCGGCTGTGCGGGGCGTGGGGGTGGGTGCTGGGCGCCCTGGCGATGCGTCTTTCACTGCCGCGCATTTTACAGTTTTAACACTCACCGACCACTTCCATCACCCTGTGTCGTGTCTGTGTTTCCAGAGCGACAGCCCGACCTTCAAAGAACATGAGTACACTGAGTTTGGGAAGTGGATGACGGATGGGAGACCAGGAGGAAGAGAGTCCCAGGTAAGACAGCAAAGGCAAGGCCAGAGCTGGGCTGAGGTCCCTGGGCTGCGCTCACCTCCCGGGTCCCTGTGTGACCCCCGCCCTGAGAGCTCTTCGCGGCAGTTGGTGCCCAGCCCTGAGCCAGCACCAGGCAGAAAGGCAGTGGGGACCTCCGCTCGGAAATGGAGATGTGGGGAGAGCCGCAGGCGGAAGGAGGAGCAACATGGCCAGCTTAGTGGTAAGAGTAAAGCATTTACACTTGACCCTGGACCCTGAGCTGCAGGGGGTGATCGCATCATCTTTTGGTTACCACGGAGACGAGTCCTCTAACTCCGCCCACGACCACCCAGCCAGCGGAGGAGCTGGACATCACACAGAGGTCCGTCCCGGGCCCCGGGGCACACCCAAAGCTGCTGTCTTTATCTTTCTTCATTTCGTTTTTTGCAGCACAGGGGAATTGAATCCAGGGCATTTGCACTGAGCTACATCCCCAGCCCCTTTATTCTATTTTGTTTTGTTTTGAGAGAGGGTCTTGCTCAGTTGCTAAATTGCCCAGACTAGTTTGGAACTTGTCGTCCTGCCTCAGCTTCCTAGAGTTCTGGATTTACAGGCATGTGCCACCATGCCAGGCAAGCTAGCATTTTTATTTATTGTTACTGGCTAGCCTTCATCAAGATATACCTATTTTACTTGAAAAAGTGCTAAAAAAAGAATAAATTCAGGCATTAGGTTAATAATGATTTATTTTACTAAAGTATTATAGAAATAGTAGCTGTCTTTAATTTTCACATTTCTATAGTACTCGAGGCAGTGCTAGGTGCTAATACATCTGGACATTTTAAGGTGGGTTTATATTTGTTCTTTTCATTTTCTCACTTTTTCCTCTTTCAGTTGTAATTTTTTATTTTACTTTTGACACAGACTCTCGCTATGTAATCCAGGCTGGCCTTGAATTCATTATATAGCCCAGGTTGGCCTCACACTCAGAGATCCTCCTGCCTCAGCCTCCTGAGGGCTGGGATCACAGTCATGTGGTCCCACACCTGGCTTAGTACATTTTCTTGTGGGGAGTTGGTCTAGGTGGGTTTATGTTTGGCAGCTGATAATTGAGGACAACACGGGGCCACACAGGCGAGGGGTGTCCTGGTGAGGGGTGTAGGGGCGCTACAGGAAACTGCAGTTTGAAATCACCGAAACTCCTGTGTGGGTGGGGCACCAGCTGGGCTGGGGCTTCTGTGCCTCACGCAGTGATCATGGGAAGTTCTTCGGGGAGTGGGAGTTGAATCGCTGGCCCCAGAGGTGGTGTGGCTCCCCTAACGTCACAGCCACAACTTGGTCCCGTGGCCTTCAGGTCGTGCGCCCTCTGGCCTGGCCGGCACTGGGGCCCTTGTCTGTCCTGCGCACAGGTCACGACTGGTGTGTCGTCAGGCTGGGCATCCAGGGTGTCATCCGGGGCCTTGACGTGGACATCTCGCACTTTGCCGGAAACCAACCTCCCCGCGTGTCTGTCCAAGCCGCCTGCCTGGTAGAAGGTGCGTTGGGGAGCAGTGTCCAGGAGGAGCCGGAGGGTGGTGCCCGAGTGCGCTCTGGGAGCCTAGAGCCAGGAGCAGCTGGCCCCAGGCTGCCCTGCGATGGAGCCCGGCCAGGGTGGAGTTGTGATTCCAGCTCAGCGGTGACTGCTGGCCCCAGTGGGATTCCTTGTTCCTTTGCTCCTGGGCCTCACCCGAGGGGCCCTTCCATGTCCCCGGGACCTGGGCTGGCTGCTGGGGCAGGAGGGAGGGAGCGGCCTTGCCTGGGAACCTGGCTTGGGAAGGCCGTGGGGCTGCTAGCTCCAGCCCAGGTCTGGCTGCTGCGATGAGCGCAGTGTCCTCACGGTTTTGGGGTTTTCAAGACCCCACAGACCATGCAGGCTCCGTCAGCACTGCTGAATGTTTGCTCCTTTCCTTGGCACCATGATGTTGACCTTTGAGTTAATGGTAAAGAAATGTGTGCAGTTGTACAATGGGTGATCAAAAAGTGGTGGATGTTTTCTGAACAAATTGAAACATTTAGAAAAGATGCATTGCTGTGAATCTTCCTCAAGATCCTCCCCCTGGCTTTGAACACCCTCCTCCCATCGTCCTCACCACTTCCTGCAGCAGCTCTGGAGTCCTCTTCCCTGAGGGTCTTTAGCTGCGCTGCCCTGGCTGCCTTAATGTTCCAAGCTGATTACAAATGTTCCTCTTTCCTGGACTCTTTCATTTGACTCTGGGAAGAGCCAGAAGTCCCACGGTGCCAGATCTGGTGACTAAGGGGGATGAGGGCACAGCGTTGTGTTTTTACAAGGCTGCTCTTCTTTTGGACAGCGCTCAGCCGCAGCAGTCACTTTATCTATCTATCTATCTATCTATCTTTACCACACCTTGTAAAGACCCACAGGAAAGAGAACTGCGGAGCAGCTGCAGAAAGTAGCAAGAACAAGGGATGAGTGTGTTTGTGTTTTGAATAGAGGGGGAAGATATTGAGGGGGTTTGTGGCAGTGTGTCTTCTGCTATTTCTTTTCTAATGCGCACTGTTTTTCTTTTGTTTTGTTTTGTTTTGTATTTTGAGACAGGGTCTCACTATGTAGTTGAGACTGACCTGGAACTCACTATGTAGCCCAGGCTGGTCTTGAACTCACAGCGACCCTCCTGCCTCAGCCTCCCAAGTGCTGGGATTACAGGCATGCGCCACCACACCTGGCCCACACTGTATTGTTCTGTCACACCATGTACACGTGATATGCTATGCTGAGGATAAATCAGGTCAGAGGAGAAATTTATCTGGGAAGTGCTAGGTGCGCAGTACCCATGACACACGGCAGGGAGGAGCAGGCCCTGGGGAACCGGGAAGGTAAGCGACAGCCTGACCAGTGAGATGAGACACAGGAAATCACCGTGACAAAGTGTGGCAGCCTGACAAGGGTGTAGAGTCTGATCCTGGGGCTGTGGCTGGGGTTGGGTGTGCATCCGGCCCTGACGCCCAGGGTTCCAGCCTTGTGGTGACTCCTGAGAACCCAGGTGATGTGATCCATCTGTCGGTTTGGCCTAACTTGGAGATGATATTTACTATTTTGATGAGCAAAGGCAGCACTGGGTGCCTTGCGGGGCCTCCGAAATCACTCATTTGTTAGACGTTTAGGGGCCACGCTGTCCATTCCCTGCTCATCAGTGCAGTGACTTCAGCAGTGACTTTTAACGCAGCTGGTGAGATGGGGTGGCCACGCGACACCCTGACAGGGCATTGTCTCTGCCAGTCTGCACCCCACCCCTAACCTGCACAGCCCTCTGACTGCAGATCAACTGCCGGAGATCCCACCGCGAGGGGTGAGGACAGGAACCGCAGCCAGCCCGGAGGAGTTCAGCGCCATTGCAGAGGTACGCTGGCCACCCCAGGGATGGCACCCCTCACTGGATTCAGGTCCTTTGCCCTGAACTACAACCCTCAGCCCGCTTGTGAGACAGGGTCTTGCTAAGTTGTCCAGGCTGGACTTGGCTGGTGAGCCTCCTGCCTCAGCCTCCTGGAGCACTGGGATTCCAGGCATGTGCCACTGCACTGGGCTCACCCCTCACCTCCTTTGCTCACAGGGGGACAGCATGGTCTGTGGCAGCCTGGGCAGAACCCTTCTCAGATGGGCTGCCTTCAAGCAATACTATTATTATTTTGAGACAGTGTCTCCCTAAGTAGCCCAAGCTGGCCTCGAACTCATGGCGATCCTCCTGCCTCAGCCTCCCAAGTGCTGGGCTTACAAGCATGTGTCACTGCACCTGGTGTCCGGCATTCATTTTTATTCCAGAGCATCTCTATCCCATCATCCCCACAGCGGCACTAGGGTGAGTTCTCGCCTCACTAGCGTTTTTGTACTTATTCAGCTACAGTCGGACGATTGGTATCACTTGGTGCCCATGACGGAACTTCGGCCGGAAAACCCCTCGTCCAGCCATAACTGTTTCCTCGTCAACTCCCAGCAGAGGTGGACTCACGTGAGACTCAATATCTTCCCAGGTGTGTGGGGCAGGGACACTGCGGGTCTGCGGCACCTTGACAAAATGACCCAGACCCTCAGTCTTGACGACTAGTGGTCTGTCTGGCATTAATCTCAGGGATTATCTGAATCTACTCAGCAACTGGCGTTGGAGAAAATCTCAAGTCGGTTGGCTGCGGTGGAACTAAGTGTTTCCGGTTAGGTAGCCCTCAGCAGCTTCCGTGCCACAGGTAGTGACAGCGGACGCGCCACACAGCTGGCTCTGTGTTCTTTCTTTTTTGTTTTTGGTACCTGGGATCGAACTCGGGTCCTTGCGCTTAGTGAGGCAGGCAGTGAAGCCACTGAGCTACATCCCTAGCCCTGTGTTATTTCTTTGTAGGAGCTTTGGTGTGATGTAATTCACAGAACATGCAGTTCACTCATCTGAAGTACACAAGTGAAGCACGTGTAGATTGGAGCAGTCTCACCACAGCCAATTTCCAAACATTTTTTTTCCTTCCTTCCCTCTCTCCTTTCTTTTTGTACCAGAGATTGAACTCCAGACCTTGTACGCAGCACCACTGAGCTAAAGCCCTGGCTATTTCTATTTTTTGAGACAGCCTCTCACTATGTAGATCAGGCTGATTGTGAATTCACTTTATATACCAGGCTGGCCTGGAACTCATGTCAAGCCTCCTGCCTCAGCCTCCCTGGGTGCTAGGATTACAGGTGTGAACCACCATGCCTGGCTTCATAAAGTTGTGTTTAGTGTGGAACATCCACTAGACTTTCCCTTGGTGGCTGTACCATCTGCACTTCTAGCCACATGCTCGAGTTTTATTTCCTCACCAATCATGGTGAACATCTCTTCCCATCTTCTGCTCATTTTTATGTATCTTTTGCTTATTTATTTATTTATTTATTTTTTGGGTTTTTTGAGACAAGGCCTCACTATGCAGTTGAGACGAACCTGGAACTCACTGTGTAGCCCAGGCTGGTCTTGAACTCACAGTGATCCTCCTGCCTCAGCCTTCTGAGTGCTGTTATTACAGGCGTGTGCCACCATGCTCAGCTCTTTTGCTTATTTAAAAACTGGGCTTTGGGTTGTGGATTAAGCTCAGTGGTGCTGCCACCTGCCTGGCAAGTGCAAGGTCTCGAGTTCCATTCCCTGTACCAAAACAGATAAACAAACAAACAAACTTGGCTTTTATCTGCTATTATTGAAATATGAAAGCTCTATATATTCTAGATATAGGTCCTCTTTTAGATATGATTTGTGAATATTTTTCTCTCACTTTGCAAAGGTATCTTTTTACTTTCTTGGATGCACAACAGGTTTCGATTTTGGTGGAGTTCAATATTTTTTTCTTTGTTGCTCATTCTTTTGGAGTTATATCTAGGAATCATTGTCATATCCAAGACTATGAATATTTGTCTCATGTGATTTTTTTCTCATTGTATAGATTTACAATTTTGTTCAAAGATAAAGATCATTTACATTGTAGGTTTACATCTTTGCTCAATTTTGAGTTAAGTTTTATAGGTGGTGTGAGGCAGGGTTGAACTTCCTTTGTTTTTATTGTGTGTGTTGGAAGTCTCAGAACCACTTGTTGTAAATGCTCTCGCTTCCCAGTTGGGTGACTTTGGATCCCTTGTGGAAAATTAGTTGACCCATGGGTTAATTTGCAAGATCTCAATTCTAACCTATTGTTATTTTTTTAAATTATTTTTTTGTAGTGAGGATTGAACTCTGGACCTTGTGCTTGGGAGGCAGACAGCAGAACTACTGGGATAAATCCCCAGCCCCATTTTTCAGTCTTTCCACCAGTGTCATACAGCATTGAATTATGTCACCGTAGTAAATTTTGAAGTTGAAAAGCATGAGTTTTATAGATTTTTTTTTTCTTTTCCAAGATGGTTTTGTGTCTTGTGAGTCCACACTTGTAGAACTGGCTTGTGAACATCTACAGAGAAGCTGGCTGGGATCTGACAGTGAATCTCACACTGAATGTGTAGATGGAGCACAAGAACATGGGATGTCCATGAACATGGGATGTCCTCCCATATATTTATGTTTCCTTTAATTTGTTTCAAGAATACTTTGCAGTTCTCAGAGTATAACTTCTCACTTCTTTTGTTAAATTTGATCTTGTATCCTCTGGCCTTGCTGGACATTTTTGGATTAACAGTGTTTAGGTGGAACAAATATTTTCTGCATACAAGGTCATGTTGTCTGTGAATAGTAGTTTTAATTCTCCCTTTTCAATTGGGATTCACTCTTTCTCTTTCTCTCTGCTCCACCAATGGTCCTGGGTAGAATCTCTTGTGCACTATTCACCAGCAGTGCCAGGAGCTAAAGTACAGGTCTTGTTTCTGACCCCAGTGGGAAAGCACTTAGGTTCTCACCATCAAACGTGTGATCACCTGTGGCTCTTCATAGATGCCTGTCTGAGTTACTTTTCTCTTATTGCCGAGACAAAATATCAGATACCCAAAGCTAACAGAAGAAAGTTTATTTAGCTCACAGTGTGTAGAGATTTCAGTCCCTAATCAGCTGGGTCCAAGGCAGGGTGGTGCAGGGGTAAGGTAGGCATAGCAGGGGGCAGATGTGGCAGGTACAGCAGGAGATGACCCTGGAGCAGACTGGTTCCAGTGTACCAGCAGCCACTTCCCTGGCGACAATGAAGACAGCTGGCTTTCCTTTCCAGATGGTGGGATTGCACGACTTAGAGTGTATGGTACTGGACAGAAAGACTGGATTGCAACAGACCCCAAAGAACCCACAGACTTGGTGGCCATCGCTTTTGGAGGCGTCTGTGTGGGATTTAGCAACACCCACTTTGGACACCCCAACAATATGATAGGTGAGAGGGGCTCCCGGAAGTGTGGGTGCCAGCATCAGGACCCGCAGTGGCCAGGATGAGGAGGAGGAAGGGACCACGAGGTAGCACAGGGTGGAGAACCCATGTGTCCATGCAATGGGCTAAGTCAGCACCATAACCGGCCTTGCTACCAGAGTAAAGCAACATTTGCCAACCCTGGGTTCTCCTGAAACATCAGCCTTCGGGAAACTAATCAGTGTAGCAGTGCTCAGAGGTGTGGGATCTGAAGTACAGGGACACTGTGTGTTCATCCTCAAATGAATGGAGCCCTGGGCAACAGACAGCGCTAACACAAGTTTCCCTGCAGGAGTTGGCAAGGCCAAGTCCACGGCAGACGGCTGGGAGACCGCCAGGCGGCTGGACCGGCCTCCAGTGTTAGAAGTAAGAGCTACGACAGCCAGCGACAGCCTCACCTTTTCTTAAAAAGTGTTTTTAGCCGGGCGTGATGACACACACACCTGTCATCCCAGCTCTCAGGAGGCTGAGGCAGGAGGATCACCACGAGATTGAGGCCAGCCTGGGCTACATAGTGGCCTGTCTCAAAAAACCAAAGCAATGAGATCTACAACAACAAAAAGTGTTTAAAACACATTTTGTCTTTAGTTTTATGTCAGGAAAGCTTCTTTCTTTCTTTCTTTTTAGAAACCTCTTAGGCATTGTTTTTTTTTGTTTTGTGTTTTTGAGACAGGGTCTCACTATGTAGTTGAGACTGATCTGGAACTCACTATGTAGCCCAGGCTGGTCTCGAACTCACAGAGATTCTCATGCCTCAGCCTCCCAAGTGCTGGGATCACAGGTGTGCACCACCACACCCGGCTCTTTTTTCTCTTTCTTTCTTTCTTTCTTTCTTTCTTTCTTTCTTTCTTTCTTTCTTTCTTTCTTTCTTTCTTTCTTTCTTTCTTTCTTTCTTTCTTTCTTTCTTTCTTTCTTTCTTTCTTTCTTTCTCTCTCTTTTTTTTTGTACCGGGAATCAAACTTGGGACCTTGTGCTTGCAAGGCAGGCAGCAGAACCACTGAGCTACATCCCTGGCCCTCCCTTAGGCATTGTTTTAATTGCTTGTTACTACCATCTCACATTTCCAAATTTCCGGTTTCTCTCACACTGTCTGCCCATCAACAGATGCTCCAACACATTGTGGGAAACCCCTGTTTCTTCAATAAAGAAACAACAAGAATCTATAGTTTAATGATACAAAATCTATGAGCATTTTTTTGTAGATTTGGAGGTAAAAATGAATTAAAAAAATTTTTTTTGTGGTATTGGTATTGAACCCGTGCCTTCATACTGAGCTACATTCCCAGCCCTTTTGAAATGTTTAAATTTTGAGACAGTGTCTCCCTAAATCACTAAGTTGCCCAGGCTGGGCTGAAACTTGCGACCCTCCTGCCTCAGCCTCCCAGAGCGCTGGGATTGTAGGCCTGCGCCTCCGTGTCTGTCTGTCAGTTTAAAGTGTAGTTTTTCATATGAGGCTTTGTGCGAGCTTGTGACTGGTAGGGGGCGCCAGAGCGGAGTTAGCTGTTGCTGTGACCAATAACTAACCCCGCCCCTCCCCTTTCCCGCCTCTCCTCTCTTCCCCTCCCCAATCCTTCCCCCTCCCCCTCTCGCCTCCTTTTTAATCTCAGAACGACGAGAACGGCCTTCTCCTCGGTCCAGGGTGCGAATGGGCCGTCTTCCGGCTGGCCCATCCTGGGGTTATAACTCAAATAGAAGTCGACACCAGACATTTTAAAGGTAAATGCGGGGCCACAGGAAGCACCTACAACCGGGGTGCTCATTCCGAAGACGGGGTGTCCCGTGCCGTGGGGCAGGACGGCCTGCGCCTGCCTTCGCACTCAGTGCCCTGCGGTTTGGAGGCGGTCACCTCCGCCTGAACCCGCTTTCCCAGATGCACAGAGCCCAGGCTGGGAGCGGGGAGCTGGGCGCGGCTGCGGAGAGGACTCCCAGCAGGTGTTTTGGGCGGGGGCAACCATTTCTACACATCCTTAAAAGCACAACCTTCCGCTGGTTCAAGAACGAGCAACCTAGGTATTCTGTATTTACTTTGTTATGAAATATGTACACAGGTCATTAAATTAAGAGAGATCGCCAGGCATGGTGGTGAATGCCTGTGGTCCCAGCAGTCCGGAGGCTGAGGCAGGAGGATCACTGTGAGTTCAAGGCCAGCCTGGGCCACATAGCCAGACCTTGTCTCAAAAAGCAACAAAACAAAACAAAAAGAAAAAAATTCTGTTGTTCAGGTGCCAGTCTTGTAAGTATTGGGTATCGTGCAGTTGTTATCGCTTTTCTATAATGAATGTGGCAGTTTTATTCATATTTTGGAAGACTGGTTTTTAAATATCTTGCAAATCACGACTATTCAATTATTAGTGTTATATTAAGACACAACATAAACAAACCACAAGGTTCATCGTCATAGTATTATTTTAAGAAGTCTTGGTGAATTTGGCTTGCTTTTGGAAGACTGCTTTATTTTGTTTATTCATTTATTTACTTTTTTATGTGGTACTGGAGATTGAACCCAAAGGTTGCATACTGAGTTACATTACCAGCCTTGTATTTTTTTATTTTTAAGATTTTTATTATATTTTTGGTACCGGGGATCAAACTCAGAACCTTGCACTTGCCAGGTAGGCACTTTGCAAATGAGCTAAATCCCTGGCCCATTTTGTAATTTTATTTTGAGACAGGGTCTTGCTAAGATTGCCACAAGTTACCCAGGCTAGACTCCAAACTGTGATCTTGTGACCCTCCTGCCTCAGCCTCCCAGACCCCTAGGTTCCAGGCATGCAACACCACATCCAGCTAGGACTACACTTTATTTTTTAATATTTGTTTTTTTTGAGACAAGGTCTCGCTATGTACTTCAGGCTGGTCTTGAACTCACTACATAGCCCAGGTTGAATTCACAGCGATCCTCCTGCCTCAGCCTCCCAAATGCTGGGATTGCAGGTGTGCGCCATTTCGCCTGGCATTTGCTGTGTTTTGGACCTGACTGAAGAGCCGGAGGTGCTCGCAGGCGGATGCCGCAGGGGACAGGCCTGGCACACAGGGTCCCTTCCTCCCACAGGCAACTCTCCGGACAACTGCAAAGTGGATGGCTGCGTCCTGACCATGCAGGAGGAGGAGGAGGCGGCCAAGCGGAAGTGGACCCTTCCAGCCGCGAAGTGGAAGCCACTGCTCCAGGTCACCAAGGTGGGTGGGGCCCAGGATGAGGAGCCGCTGTTTCGGAGTCCGGATCTGATTCCAAATCGGCGCGGTTTCCCTCACTTCTGCGTTTCTAACAGTTTTTCTTTTTTGAGGTACTGAGGGCCGAACCCAGGGCCTTTGCACTGAGCTCCATCCCCAGCCCTTGTGTAAACTTTTATTTCAAGACAGGGTCTGGCTAGGTCACTAAATTGCCCAGACTGGGCTTCAATTTGTGACCCTCCTGCCTCAGCCTCCCAGAGTGCTGAGTTGAGAGGTGTGCACCAGGACACCTGGTAGAGTTTATTAAAATTATGTGTGCTAAGGACACACAAGTGGGAAAATGTTTGTGTGTTCAGGGGAGACGAGCAGCTGTAAAGCCCGTGCACTTGCAGAGGGGGCGGCGCTTAGAGGTTCTGGAAGCGTCTTTGACATGGGGGGGGCGCTGGCGATCTCGAGCAGGCCCTGTCACCATGGAGACACGCCAGCCAACTGCTTCCTCGTCTTGACTGGTCCTCTTGAACTACTAAACACAACAAACACCACGACCAGGCATGGCGGCATACGCCTGCCATCCCAGCACTCAGGAGGCTGAGGCAGGAGGATCACTGTGGGTCGGAGGCCAGCCTCGGCTACATCGTGAGACCCTGAATACTCATGCCAGTACTATTTGAGCATCTTTTCCTGCTAGCAGATTTCTAAGCCAAGTTGTCACTGGATAACTTCAAAAAAATTTTTTTTGAAACGGTCTTTCCAGCCAGTTCAGGCTGCTTTGTTTGCGTTTTTGGAGAAAAGGTCTCGCTCTGTACTTCAGGCTGACCTTGAACCCAGGCTAACCTCGAACCAGTGGTGACCCTCCTGCCTCAGCCTCAGGAGTGCTGGGATTACAGGTGTGCCCCCACACCCAGATGGATGACTTTTCAAGTCCCCAGAAGCCAAGCTGGCTGTGGCACTGGGCCAGTCAGTCCCGTGGGCCACCTACACTGCCAACCTCTGGCTTTTGCCCTTGTCGCAGCTGTCGCCCAACCAGAGCCACGTGTTCGACAGCCTCACGCTGGAGCTGCAGGACGTCATCACGCACGCGCGGCTCAGCATCGCCCCGGATGGGGGTGTGGGCCGCCTGCGCCTGCGCGGCTTCCCCAGCTCCATCTGCCTGCTGCGGGCCGCGCGAGAGGCTGAGCATGCGCTTCGCCATGAAGGGCGGCTTCAAGGCCAGCCTGTAGCCCTGAGATCGGCCAGTCTCCTCCCGCGGCTGCTCACGGGCCGCCAATAAAGTGGTCCCGGTGCAAAGAGCCATGTGTCCCCGTGTGGCCCGAAGCGTCGGGTAGCTTGTAAGTGAGCTGTGGCTGGGAATGGGAAACAGTCTGGGAGGCTGAGGCGGGAGCATCGCAAGTTGGAGCTCAGCCTGAGCAATTTAGCAGCCGAGTGCAAAACTGTCTCAAAATATAAAAATGAAAAAGGGCTGCGGATGGGGCTCAGCGTTGGCTCTGGATTCTGTCTCCGGTGCTGAAAACATGAAATGGGTCGTGGCTGAATGGTAGGTGGCCGCTTGACGGGTAACATTTTTTGGCTGTTTTTTTTTTCGTTTTTGAGACGGAGTCTCGCTAAGTAGTCAAGCTGGCCTTGAACTCTTGGTGATCCTCCTGCCTCAGCCTCCCAAAGGCTGGGAAGACAGGCCTGGCTTTTTAAAATAACAACATACTGACACAGTGCGTGGAGTACCTTCTGGGCAGAGCCCCTGTGGTGACCGGAGTCCGCCTTCCAGGGGCTGTTGAAAGCCGGCAAAACCAGTGGGAAGCCCTCCCCTCCCCTCTGAGACCCCTGCTCATCCTGTCACCTGTGCCCTGTCACCCCTGCCCTGGGCAGCAAGCGGGGTCACAATCGCTGTGCGTCAGCGCAGTCCCGCGCCCCTCCCGCACCCCACCCA